ATTTGTTCATTTTTAATGTTTTGTAAAAACTTTATATTTTATTTTACAGTACTGTAACAAAATTATTGGAACCTACTTTGAGGAATGTGGAAAGGTTTCTGCCTTGTCCAGTGACTACAAAAAGGTCTGCATTGATGAGTATTGCCAAAATAGAGACAAAGCGTCGACATGTGACACTTATTCAGAATTGTCCCGCCTTTGTGCCTCAGACGGTCCCGGCACCTACGAATCCTGGCGAAACGATTCTGATGTGGTTTGCGGTAGGTTTTTCATTTTATTGTAGATTTCCAATCAGGAAGTTTACACAGGGGTGGGCAAAAGTAGGTTTACAGTAGTGAGTACACGAAACACAGAGCTTATTGTTGTACTATTATTTATTAATTATTGTATTATTTTCCATATGAATGACTATACACCTACTTTGGACCAACCCTGTATGGGACTTTAAAGTTGAGCTATTTTTCATAGTGATCTTCTCAGATGATTGTAAGTCCTGGGAAGCATTGAGAGATGATAGACTAGAGTCTTGTCTTCACATGTACTTGCGAGGACACTGAGGCCCTTTGGTGAAGTGACTCGCCACAAGTTGCAGTGCTTTCTGTAATGATGTTAATGAGGAACTTCATGATATTAACAATAAATAAAATTCACTGGGGGAAATGAGTAAAATTGTACAAAAAAAACTGTAAAAGTAGTGGAAATGTTATCAAAAGGATATTGATTAGCACTATGATTTTCTTTCAAAAAAATTAACACATTGCAGACCAGTAGTTTTAGTGCTAGCTTTACCCAGTGGCCAGATAAGGTTCTACTGAATGAGTACAAAAAACGTTTTACATAAATGGTAAAGGCACGCTTTAAAATTAAATACCCATTGAATTTTGAAATTATTTATTACACGTTCATATAAGCTAATATCTTTTTAAAGTATGATACTTTGTAAAAACACTGTGTAATAACAGAGAACATGAGAATTCTCATGATCTGTCTTAATAAAAAATAAATATGTTTCATAACATATATATATACTTTCCACGTATGCTTAGCTCAATCTTAATAAGTTAGAATACAAATAAGATCAAAGTAAGATGAAATAATATTATGTACAGCATGCATTTCCTCCATAGTAAATTTTGTATTATAAAATAATGCATTGTCAATTGGCACAATACAGTGGTACTGCATATCTTGAAAAACATATATCTTGAAAATTAGACTCAAAGAATCCTATTTGAAAAGATCCTCATTAGAATGTTATATATTCATCACATTAATTTTCCTCTAATTTTCATATATAAATATTTCTATATTTTTCCAGAAAAACCTCAATGCCCAGAACAACATATCTACAAAGAATGTGGCCCCTCAAATCCTGCAACTTGTTCTAATGTAGCTCCTTTTCAAGACAGTGAATGTGTGAGCGGCTGCACCTGCCCAGAAGGTAATAATATTTACACCAAAAGACCTGACAAAGAAGTAACTCACTCTAGTGCAGTCTTATCTCTAACAAGATATTTAATGAATTCACTTATTCATAGTCCAGCCTTCTAGCAAACTGCAGATGGGGGGTAGAGAGAGACCTTTAAAGTTAATGTGCATTTCTATCTCTGCGGTACCTGAGGGCTGTAATACCCACAGATTATCCTCTGATTCTATATTTGGCTCAGGAGGACTGCTCTGTGGTTCAGAAAATTACATGCTTGCAAGTTCTCAAAGAAGGAGTAACTGCTTAAATATAAATTACTATGTTAAGTGCATGTCTGCACCCATCAGAACTAGCTCAACAGTCATTTCACAATACACTGCTTGAGAATTTACTGGGGTTCATATGTCTTGAGATTCACCTTACATAACATATTCTAGGTTATCTGTTGGATGACATTGGAGAGAAAGGAAGATGTGTATTGAAGGCCGACTGTCCCTGTGAGTCTAATGGAAATGTCTACCTGTCAGGAGACGTTCGAGAAGGTCCTTGTGGGTCTCAGTGGTATGTGTGTGCTTTTCGTCCTCACTTTGTTGATAGTGAAAAAATACGAATATTTTAGTCTAATTTAAAATAATCCCTGAATCCACCCTTCAGACTAATTTAGCAACCTCATGGGATTTTCCATGTTAATATTTTATTTTTTTGGCTGAGGAATGTTTAGTGTGATATTTGTATAAAACATGTGAACTTTCTGTGTATCTTTAAAAAATAATGTT